CCCGCCGCTTCCGCTCCACCAGCGTCGGGTCGTGCAGTAAGCGCAGACGCTGCAGCTCCACCTCGACGCCGCGCAGGTCCTCCGCCTTCATGCGCAGCTCCGTCTCCGCCATCTCGCACAGCTCCACCTGCGCGGCGGTGCGGCGCATATCCGCCGCAGTCCCCGCCAGCGTCGCCGCCTTTGCGCGCAGCGTGGCGTTGGTGGCCTGGTTCTGCGCGTCGCGCTCCATGAACGCCTCGAGGTCGACGTGCTGTGCATCCAGCACCTCGCGCATCGACGCGTTCTCGCTGCGCAGCTTCTCCAGCGCCGCCTGGAGGGCGGAGATGTCATCGCGGCATGTGTCGCGCTCCTGACACGTGATGTCAAGCATCTGCTCGAGGCTCTCCACGCGTGTGAGTCTCTCCTTGTCGAGGCGCGCAACCCTCTCGTACTGCGCAAGCCACCCATGGAGCCATGCCGACAATTCCTCGGTGGCCTTCTGCGCCAGCACCGTTGCCGCTGTGTCCTCGTCTGTGGTCGACGAGACATCATTCGCCGCGGCGCTGCTTTGGGCAAAGGAGCGGCTGTAACGCAGCGGGTCGCCACTGCCCCTGCAAGATTGGCTATAGACCTCTTGCCGCAGCGCGCATGGCAGGCTGCGTCGCTTGCAGGGATGCTGCTGCGCCAGCCGCTGCAGCTTCTCAAGCGCACCGCACACCTCCCCCAGCTCGCGCTTCTTACGCGTCAGCTCCTCCTGCAGTGCGGGCTCACGGGACAGCTGCATGGACGCCAACTGCTTCTGCATGGCGCCAATCGTCTCTAGCAATTCTTCCCCTTCTTTTACATCATCTGTGACACCCAACGTGCTACGGAGCTTGGCAAAAAACTCAACGGACTCGGTGCCATCTTCCCCACAATTCTCCGTTTGCACCGACCTATTGCTCAATTGATGCTCCTTCCCAAAGAGAGAATTTAGTCCATCCAGAAGGGTCTGATCCGTCATAATGGAGGCATCTTTCATGAAGGCCGTGACCTCCCTGTTCGTAGCTGTCACTTCCCCCGCTGCTTCTGCTCTAGTTGTTGTTGCTTCTGGCACTGGCTCCGCCGACCGTGGCCTCGTCGAGGGCGTCCGGCTCCGCATCGGCAGCACCACAGCAGCCGCAAGGGTTTCCGGCCCCGGTAACTCTCCATGACCATGTGAGGCGTCGCTGCTCGCTGCGTCCACAGAAGTAGGAGCCGCCTTATACATATTCTCACTCTTTGTAATGGAGGCGACCTTGTCGAGAGCAACAAGTGTCCGCCACTCCTCATCTGTAAGAGAGTCTGGCTGTTCACACACCTTGGTCGCGAGGGAAGCCAGCACTCGCTGCGCCACGGCCAGGGATTCTTCGTCCGCCGACCGCTCTTCTGTGGAGACCACTGCTACTTCTTCAGGGGGCAGTGCCATTGCTGGAGTGTCTTGCGGCTGGTCTTGTTCTTCTTGTTGCTCCTGCTGCTGATCCGCGCACAACATCAGCGTCGGGGATGAAGCACGACAGATGCTCGCCTCCACGGCAGCGACGGCACTTTGCAGCACCAACGCGCGACTCTTGTCCAATGGTGCCTCATCGCCACACGTTGAACCGTACACGTCCGCCACGCCACTCAGCCGCCGCACCACAACACCAAGCACCTGCATCAACGACGGCGTAGAGAGGCATGCGGCGGACCCCGCCCCACACTGCCCACTCTTCAGCAGTGCTGCGTACTGCATCACGACTTGAAGAGCACGCTGCAGGTCACCATGCACTTCCGCTCCATCATCCTCTCCCGTCACCGCGGCGGAGGCGGTGGCTGTTAGCAACGCACGTTCCAGCACACTGAGTGCCTTGCGCACCTCCTCGCGGTGGTACAAGGTCACCAAGTCGGCGTTTTCTTCACGCGCACATGCGGCGTAGGCGCGCAACGTGCGGAGCGACTGAAGCAGTCGTTCGCTCGCCAGACTATCCACTACGCGAACTACTGAAGGTGAAGACCCTCCCACAGGGCGAGACGTACAGACATCATGGACGACATTCTCCAGCACCTCAATAGCGTTCAGAGTTTCGGGCTGCAGCAACGCCAATCTAACGTCGGTATCTCTACAGCACAGATCTGGAGCACGTGCCACAAGGAGGCGGCAAGCCAACACCACTTCATCCGAAGTCATGCCATCACGCGCACGTTCTTGCAAAAGCCCTAACATCTCGGCATCCATAATGGTAACCGTACGGTGAAGCGCCTCGTTTAGCACAGAGAGAGCAGCATCGGCCGCTAACTGCGTTTGTCCATTGGCAGATGCACTCTCGCTGAAAAACTTACTCGAATCGGACATCAATGCGTTAGCCTGGCGCGGTGCCTCCGAACCGTTCGTAAGAACGTCTTCCAACACCTTCACAGCTTGCAGTACGTCATCCGCCAAAAGCGGGTCAAGAGCAGGCCCGCTGAATCCATGAATAATATTATTCAGAGCCACCAACGCAACACGTGTCGCCTCGTCGTCACGATTGAAGCTCCGGGGATCCATCGCCAACACCTCTTGAATTGCAAGAAGGGCATACAACAGTTCATGGTGCGACACAGCATCTTCACGAGAGTCACCGCAGACCGCTGCACTCTCAGACTGATCAATAAATTGAGAAAGCATCTCGAAATGATCAGGACGTTCAACACAACTAAGAGCATCAGTAACCACAAAAAATGCACGTTGAACAACAGTATCGAGAACACCAGGCGACGAAAGCGGAGCAAGGATACCATGAATAAGCTCCAACAAATGAGGAAGCAATAACTCAGTTTCCACGACCTCAGTCACAGGCAGCTGATCAGCATACTCGACCGAACGAAACTGCTCAAGCTTCTGATCCATGTTCTGCATGGCGTCACCAGTAGGCTCTGCGACGGCCTCCTCTGTCAGCTCGCTGTTCTGCTGCTGCTGCTCAATGTTCTGCATGGCGTCACCAGTAGGCTCTGCGACGGCCTCCTTCTCAGTGTGCTCCATGTTCTGCATGGCGTCACCAGCAGGCTCCGTCGCAGTCTCCTCTGTCAGCTCGCTGTTCTGCTGCTGCTGCTCGACGTTGTGCATGGCATCACCAGCAGGCTCTGCGACGGCCTCCTTCTCAGTGTGCTCCATGTTCTGCATGGCGTCACCAGCAGGCTCCGTCGCAGTCTCCTCTGTCAGCTCGCTGTTCTGCTGCTGCTGCTCCATGTTCTGCATGGCGTCACCAGCAGGCTCCGTCGCAGTCTCCTCTGTCAGCTCGCTGTTCTGCTGCTGCTGCTCCATGTTCTGCATGGCATCACCAGTAGGCTCTGCGGCAGCCTCCTCTGTCAGCTCGCTGTTCTGCTGCTGCTGCTCCATGTTCTGCATGGCGTCACCAGTAGGCTCTGCGGCGGCCTCCTCTGTCAGCTCGCTGTTCTGCTGCTGCTGCTCAATGTTCTGCATGGCGTCACCAGCAGGCTCCGTCGCAGTCTCCTCTGTCAGCTCGCTGTTCTGCTGCTGCTGCTCCATGTTCTGCATGGCGTCACCAGTAGGCTCTGCGGCGGCCTCCTCTGTCAGCTCGCTGTTCTGCTGCTGCTGCTCCATGTTCTGCATGGCGTCACCAGTAGGCTCTGCGACGGCCTCCTTCTCAGTGTGCTCCATGTTCTGCATGGCGTCACCAGTAGGCTCTGCGGCAGCCTCCTCTGTCAGCTCGCTGTTCTGCTGCTGCTGCTCGACGTTGTGCATGGCGTCACCAGTAGGCTCTGCGACGACCTCCTTCTCAGTGTGCTCCATGTTCTGCATGGCGTCACCAGTAGGCTCTG